AACGGTGAGAGCAGGGGTAGATCCAGCCTATGAAGGGCCCGCGGGTTGTGCTAACGGGATGCAAAGGTCGTAGAGCTCATTGTAGGTCTGCGGGAGAGGCAAAGGGAGAAGCGTTCTCCACACTGAGATTTAGGCAGACCTTACTCTGGTGCTGAATATTTAGAGGTTACAAGTAAACAAACCTGAGGCCACTGGGTTTGTTCCGCCCAGAGCAGAGCAGGCTGAGGAGAGGCCTCATGGCAGCCTACAGCTCCTCACAAGGAGCGGAGGGAATGGTGCTGAGCTCCGCTGTCTGTGGCAATGACAGAGCCTGAGAGAATGGCGTGGAGATGTGTCAGGGGAGGGGCAGCTGGGCTTAGGGTCTGCAGCACAGGGCGGGAGCACGGAGCAGGCTGCCCAGGGCTGTGGGCTCAGCCCCAGCTGCCTGAGCTCAAGGAGCGTTTGAACAGCGCCCGCGGTCATACGGCCTGATGTTTGGGTGGCGCTGTGTGGAGCCAGGAGTTGGACTCCCTCATCCTTGTGCATCCCTTCCAAGTCGGGATATTGTAAATTGGCAAGCCCTGGGCACACACTCCTGTCTAGATAAGGAATTTGATCCAGAGTGTGCTGCATATTCCTCCTGGCTCATATGCCCTTATTTCCTTTTTGCATCGTAGGGAGCAGTAGCAGATAACACACAGCTACATCTGCTTCAGGCAGAGTGCTTTGGTTGTTGGCAAACGAAGCACGAAGGTTCTCAACTGTTACACGTGTGTCTGTCTGACATAGAACACTCTCCTCAGTAATTCACAGGAAGGAATCATAGTTTGCTCCACAGCCATGCCTGTGCAAGGGCAAGGGCTGCATGGCTACCGCACTGCTGTAGGACAGCTCCAGAGTCAATTCCCAACCTCCTGAACACACACAGCTTGGTATTCCCCAGCCCATCCGGCAGTTCAAGGCATGCAAGGCTCACCTGGGTACAGTGTCCTCCAACCGAATGCCTATCGTTCAGTGGGGCCACAGAACATTTTGGATTTAATCTGCAGTTATGCTTGCACATGAGCTGCCATGCAGACATGTCACCTTTCTTTGGTCAGGAAGTGTCTGAAACTACAGAGATATTACATTAAACATCTGAATGCCTGTAAAAACTCTAAAGCTGGTTTACTGGAAAGCTATGCTTCTGGGAGACTGATCATGTTTTATCCTATTTTGCTCAGAAGGTAATATCTTTAAAGACAGAATCCCAGGTAGGGTCCTCTGAAAGAGAGAAGCCAAAGGTGAAAGGACTGTCATTTAAGAACCAGAAGGTCTTAACACGTGATGTTTTGCTGATGTTTTGCTCCAGTGTTTTAGCTGACTTTGTCCTGCTGCCAGTTAGACATGTACTTCTAACCACAACTACGGGAGTTGCAGCAGCTGTATTTTCCCACCCCTTGGCCATTGATTAAATAAATTACAAGTCCTGTAAAACTTATCCCAGCCAAGATGGAAGAAAACTACTGCTTTGCTGAGTGCAAATAGCAGAGTGCAGGGAATCAAGTACAAAATGAGACATACCACAGCTCAGATTGTTGATGGTAGGAGATTGAAAGAAGTGAAGGCTGCCGCACCCCTAATTTACAAGAACGGTCCAGAAATTAAGTGGAGCTATTTTTAGAAATCATATCCTCACACAGCAGAGTGGAGCCCATATTTTAGACTGCTATTCATGATCAAAAATGCCACCTGCTCAGATGAACAATAAAAACCCAGCAGTATGAGAGGGATAATAGTATGTTTGAGCCCTATGTTGGTTCCATGGAAAAAGACTGTAGGGGTGCAAAGAGAGCCTCCCTAGAGAAGCATTTCATTTTCTTTCTGAAATGTTCCTGTCACAGGCAGTCTGGTGTAGGCTCTGCACACTTCCATTCTCTTTACCTGCTATTTGTTAGCAAGCAGGGTATTTTCTGGCTTTGAGCATAGGTTCATTCAAGCACATTCATGCAGCATCTTTTCTCAGGGAGACTTAAAAGAGGAGGACTAGTATATGCAATTATAGTGGTTAGAATGCTTTCCGGTCTCCCTAGAAATCTGCCTTTTAAAGCTATTCCCCTTGAAATCACTTTCCAGAGCCTGGCCAATGTTGCTCATCTCATAAAAGAAAGGAAGTACAATGTTACAGTCTTGAGGGAAGGGTAAGCTAGGAAGGTGACAGAGGGACTGAGCTGCATTGCACACAGCACAGTCTTAAGAGAACTGAGTGTTTCAGGAACGTGTTGGAAGAGGTGAAACAAGCAGCTGTTTAGCTGTTAAGAATGTGAAACTGGAAATAAATCTTCCAGACACTTCAGCTAGGCTTGCATTCCCTCATCTGCTGCAAGCAGATAAATGCAACTAAGCTATACGAGTCACACCTTTCAATATGCAGGTTGACTCTTCATGGAATTCAGTAGATTCATAAGGCAGAATTTCCCTCTGCAAAAGACATGTTTTCTCTTCAAAGTAAATAATATTTATCCAGCTGTCTACTAGTTCTGGAGAGTGAGCAGGCTTCCTGGCCTAGCCTGTCAGGCTCCCTATCTTCCAGGCAACCCTTTTTAGAATTTGGCATCAGGTATGCAATCCAGACACTGCTAGTAACTTCCATCTGTTCCTAATTGTTTCTTACTGCTCATGCTATCAGTTTAGCAGTTTCCACTGGATATCAGGTGAATCTCCCGCAAGGGTTTCCCCTTTCCTTCACTGTGAAAATTGGCTCAAGTAGTTTGTAAACTTCTCTGGTTATCAATGATAGAACCTGTCTGGAAGGCGTCCTGTTCCTAAGGTGTGAAGAGAGATTTATTAGTTTTGATTCCTTTTGGAAGGAGACAATCTGACTGTTTTCTTACATTTTATCTGATGGAATCTACATTTCTTTCTACTAATTTTTCCCTTTGAGTATTTCTGCACCTTTTCTAAAGATGTTGTCTTGTTTCTAGCAGCCTTCCTTAGCCTGCTGTTTACCTGTGCTGTCTTTCCTTTTGCCTATTCCCAAACCTTCCTTGGTAGTCCAAACATGTACTAAGCTTTCTTCCTAGGTTTTAAAGCATTTTAAAATAGCTTCCTTAATTCTTATACGGATTTGATCATTGTAGCTGTGCTTTTTAGTTACTTTTTAACAAACTGTCCCATTTTCATATAGTTTCTCTTTTCAAAACTGAGGATAAATTTTGTGGGCTTTTTTGCCTGTTGCTGATCCTGTAATGATACTGCATCAAAGTAAAGTATGGTCACTGCCACAGAATGACTCTCCAAATATGAGATTTCAAGCCAGATCCTGACTGCTACTCAAGAAGTCAAACCTGTCTCTCTCCACACGGGCTTTCTAACTAGTTTTTCAAGAGACAGTGAAAATGTCTAAAAAGTCAGTCTCTTTGTATTGTCTAGATATAACATTGTATATCTGTGTACAAGCAACGCAGTCTCCTGCTCCCATTACATCTTTGTCCTTGCTGAACAACTTTATCTTCTGTGGCATTTCATTATTAGTAAAATTGACCCAATATCAGCTCAGAACATGTCAGGAATTATTTGTGCTCTTCTACAGTCTCTCTCTTTAAGCTGGATGTAGATCTCTGCACATACTATTTGATTTCTAATAATAAATTTGTTAATGGGATTGATTGAAGGAGCTGCTTTTCCAAAACCAAACTGTTTTCAAGGAGAGGTGAACTTCCTCTTGTTCTAACAAAAAAAAATTGCCTGCCTCTGTAAGTCCTGTGGAGGCAGTGGTATTGTGAGACCGTTAGTTGGAAAAGTGTTTGTAGAGGTGCAAGAAAATCCACACTTACAGATACTTCTCTGCTGGCACAGTGTATCAGGAAGAGCTTGTAGGACTTCAGGATTTTCTTAATAGGTCTTGAGATGGTGACGTATATGTGAAAGTTTGATTAAAAAGTATTTATCACTGACACAATAAATCAGAACACAATCCCAAAGAGAGGCCAAGCCAGAAGAGTGGTTTAGGTTATTATTTCATTGTTTTTCTTTACTACTGGGAGATGCAAGAAAGCTGCCTTATGCTATATTTGTTTGTAGATCACTGAAGCGTCATTGATTATCACCAAAATGTCTTGGAACAGTAAGTTTCTACTGTATTCTTTCTGACATTTAATTTACATAAGTTTTTTTTTTTTTTAAAAAGGGAGGAGGTTTAATGAAGTGATGTGTTATCTGCCACCTGGTGTCTCTAACTAAAAACACAGCAAAAATATATTGAAGATCTTAACCTTTTATAGTACCATTATAAAAAAAATAAATACTGAAAAAGACTCACAAGAAAATAATTCAGACATGTCTTCTCAGTGATACCACAGGAATCAAGGAAGAAAAGAATGCTCCATTTGCAGTAGAAAGTTAAATCATGCTCAGGTGTTGAAAGAGCACAGTCTCTAATTTGTACACTTAGAAGGTATGTCAGTACACTCAGAAGCATTATTTTTGTGCCCTGTGACATGCTCTTTGATTTTATCTATTTTATAATATTTGGTTTCTAGTAATTGTTTACAGACTGTTTAATGTGAATACAGTAATTAATGAGCCTCCCTATTTATTTGCCTAATGTGCTGCCAGATGGATCTGATATTCCATTTTACTTGTTTGGCAACCGCGCTCATGCTTTGACTGCCTCTGTTTTAATCCTGCCTTTGAGCCTCTTAATGTAGATAATCCATCCAGAATCCGCTTCCCCGCTGATCATTTTCTCTTCCGCTTCTTTTATGTTTAACTTTGCATTTTCATTCTTAATGAACCAGGTATACAGGACTATGTTTGATAGCCTTAAACGTCACTTTACTGACAATAAGTGTGAATGCATGCTAATAATCAAACGGTACTGAGTGCCATGTAGTGATTGGCTGCATTCTCATTTTCTGTGCAATACAGCGGTAACTGATAAAAGTCCTTGACAAGATAGTATGCTCACTAATGGTTTTTAATAAGATAGACAAATATAGTACAACTTACCTTACTTCCAGTCAAAAAGGAATACATTGCGATTTGCTATATGTTTTTCTTTGATTTCTTTATTAAAGAAGTCCAAAGCCTTTAAAGGTGACATCAGAAGTTATCCAGCAACTTATAACAGCAATGAGAGGATTGTGAATTACAGTAATCTTTTCTTTAAATCACTGACATACATAAGTAAGGTCCTTGCAATGGTGTGGTGACCTTGTGTAGTGACATCATCTTCAAACTGAAAGGAAAATCAAGATAGACATCGAAGAGGCATCATGTATACATCCACAAAACTGTACCTTTGGGCATTACAGTAGGGTTCTGAAGTAGTGTTAAATGCTTCCTCAGTAATCCTTGCACACTTCAAAGCTCCATTGGTTTTCAGTAGCTGTTAGGAACATCTGTTTCCTTCTGTAAAGTATGGCATCAAAGTCAGAGGCACGCAAGTATGAAGTCTAATTGATCTGTACACTCATATCTCAGGTTTGAAAAGAAATATAGCAAGTCACTCGCATCACTGATCTCATCATCTTAGTTTGATTTTGAAACCTAGAAATAGAGAGAATTTTTAATTCTGATGAAATACAAGTCAATATAACATTCCCACTGAATTAACTGGGCCAGAACTTCATGACTTTTCATATGTTACTATAATTTTAAAAATGAAAGCTTTTATTGTCTCGAGGAACATCCACAGCTTCTTGCAAATACAATATGTGGTGAACTTTCTTGTAACTTGTTGTTTAAGTGGGAATGTTCTCAATAAAGTATCATGTTGTTTAAAAAGATGTAGCTTGTTGTCCTCTGTTCTTGTTCCATTAGAAACAGACATTTTCATATGCATATACTGAAAAATGCTAAGATTGCTGGATACCAGAAGAATGTTCTTGAATCAGGAGAGAAACACTTCTAAATCACACCAGAAATTTTGATCCACTGTAGTAATATTTCAAGAATTGACACTACTTAATTAAAACAAAACAGAAGGTCATGAAGAATCTTCCTCTCCACCTCTGCTACAAGAAGGCACTCTTGGAGCATTATTGGCTTTGAAATAACCTGCTCCATTCTGAATTGTGGCTGTAATGGTAATCAAGTTTGCAGTACTTCTGATGGAAGTACTGAGTCAGGAGCTTGTGGTATATTGCTGCCTTTTTTTTTTTTTTTTTTTTTTTTAAAACCTTTTGGCCCACAGAATTAGGCTTTGAAATCTCACATCGTTTTTCCTTAAAGAAGAAAAATGGACACACATTCCTTTAACATAAATCTGTTGGTATACAAGGAATGTTTATAGTTTTTAAATCGTATTTATTTATGTCTATCTAGACTAAGCCTATTTGCTTTAACCACAGGTTTGTCTTTCTCTCTCTATATCATTTCTTACAAAAGCTATTTTTCACTTGTGTTTAAGATCACGCTACACATTCTTTTGTGGTGATCTGTCAGATATTTGTTCTCCTATGCTCTTGTGCTGTTTTTGCTATTTCTCATTCTTCCCGCACATACAGATGCGCACAACCAATGTAACTGCTGCATTTGGTATGGGAATCCCAGTAAATTCCTGTGCCATCTGGCCAAGCCATAGTTGGTATTTGCATGTGGACTGGTGCTTGGGTGGTATTTTTTCATTGTTTCAGCTATCACTCAGCAAAGTTATTTAAGTGGGTCTTCAATGAGCCTGAACAGAATACAGCTACTATACCCAAGAGCTTTAGTTGCAAAGTGCAATTACTCTATCTCCTCTACTGCAACACATAGAAGCAAAGAGAACTAAAGCACTCTCTTAAGTAATGTCAAATTCAGTGGCTATTTTCTTCCTAAGTAGCAGCTGTCTCAGTTGCCAGCTGTACTTGCTTTTTTGTAGCCTACCTAACCCACCAGACATCGCTGACCTCTCCTGCCCTCGTTTGCTACCCTCACTCACTCAGTCTTGAATTCCTTTTGGAGGAGTTCTGAGGATGGCAGGAATACAGCATTGTCATAAATCAAGGATTATGAACAGGCTGTAAAATTTCTGACTCCTATTCTCCTCTTGTGTGTGTTTGTCTGTGACACAGGGGGACAAGCAGCTAGAAAGTGACAAGAAAAGCCCAGCAGCGAAAAAGAGTTCTACTCAAGTAAGGTCACAGCAAAGATCAATGAACTTCCCTGCTGAGAAAGTGTACCACCAGATAATGGGAAATGGCAACAGTCAGACCTCCAAGAGGCATGAATCGATTCACTTATCAAATAAGAAAAGTCAAGATCAAATTAGGAAAGTGAAACCATTGAAATACCACAATTTTTGTATGGGGATGACAATATAGGGCTGTTTAAAAGGCAAAAGACATCACAACAAAAAAACCTTGGGTCAGATCTCTCAGACTTTGCTGTTCTTGGGTGATGTGTGAATACAGTTAGTGTCCTCTCCAAACACAGAAGGGGAGAAATAACCAACTTCATCAATTCTTCAACTGGCAAGTTCACTGTTCTACTTACATGCATTTAAAAAATACTTTGTTAATGCACACATCATTGGCTTCTCAAAGTAAGCAGACAGTTTGCTTTTATTCGGCACTTCAGAAAAGCAGCAGTAAGCAAAATTAAGGAACAGAAGGAACCCTATCTACTTGTTACAATGGCAGACCTGTTTTTTCCCTCCCAACCTACATCGTTGTCAGCTGCTTCAAAGTTAGCCCAAATGTACAGCAACATTGTACCAGCAAGGCTACTGACAATTCATTCCCATGTTACACTCAGCCATGAAATTAAAAGTGATTTAAATATTCATAAAATTTAGTAAAGTATCCAAAATTAATAAAGATGATTAAACTGAGATCTCATCAATAAGCAGATGACATCCAGTGAGCAGAGCACACTGGATTACAACAATCATAGCACTGTAGGTTTTTTGTACCACACCAGTGGCACACAGTACTTGTAAACCTTGTTTAACCAGTTAAATGATGCCTACAACTCCTTAGGGTTCTTTACATTGCACAAAGTGGCAACTAAGCTGTACAAAGCAGCAAAGAAGGCATTCAGTAACTCAGCCTTCCTCTCCTCCTTGGTGGAGGTAAAAAAAAAAAAAAAAAAAAAAAAAAAAGATGATGGAGATTCTCCTCAGTCCTCCTTCTGTTGTTAAAGTATTTACAAAAACACATCATAAAGATATTTCATGGTCTTTGTTGCCAATTGGTTTCCTGTCTTTAGTATTTGGTCCGAAATGCTGTCACAGCACGAAGAGTATAAATCAATACATAGCTATTTTTACCCACTGAAGAAAATAAGAGGTGTAATTTTCATACCTTGAGAGCATACTAGAAACATTTATTAATTCACCCTCACCCTTTCTACAGAAACCAGGTTGATACAATATGACTGGTGTTAGAGAAATGAAGGTGAGAATTGTCAGAAGTATTCATAGATAGAAGTATACTGCAATTACACTTCAGTAACACCATGGTATCAGATTGCTTTGGTTGTTTGACTGTACTAGAGAACCTGTTAATCACACAACAAACGAGGACTGCATCCTTCATTATCTGTCCCTTGGTCCTGTAATCAGCTGGGCTATACAGCAGTTTTTACCTCTTGACATAAGAAAGCAAGTATATCTGCGTGGGTACACTTACTGTGGTAAAAGAATAGGATGTATGCTTTTTTGTTCTGGAGTTAGTAAATAGAAATTTGCAGTTTCCTAGGAAATATTTTATTAGTAGTAGTAGTATTAAAAACTGGTCCAGAACACCAAAAGGAACGGAACACAATATAAAAGCAGAAAATGGATTTTGAATTGCTTTGTTATGCTTTGAAGTTATCTGGATGCTAGGAAGAGAGGGTATTTTGTGTAACAAGATCAGAATACAAACTGGTGCAGTTCCACTGAACTCAGTGAAACTGAAACAGGCTTTACTACACAAGAGAGAATTTGATCCTACAGTGTTTTGACTAAAATAACAGGCTGTGTCTGCTAGCTAGCTAGAAAGACAGCAGAGATTTAGGCAAGGAGTGGGATTCCAGGTTTAATGACCGGATCTAGCAAATGTGCCCTGAAGTCTTTGCAGCTATTCTCCTACACATCAGGCATCTTGCTGTGTTCTTTTCAAAAAACAACTTCCTCTTGCAATATAAACCAGAGAGAAGTGCCTTGCGCTGATGTTGGATGAGAGATGTTCTAGTAAATACTGAGAATAGTTTGAACATCAGTGTTCAGAGAACATAAGCACAATGAGCTTTATCAGTACAGATGGTATCTTTATGGAGACCAACTGATGTAAATGAGAGAAATACAACATGCATTAGTCTCACATTTTTATGGGATGGAAACAGATCATTTATGTCTAGTGTTTCTCTTTTCAGTAAGAAAACCAGCAGCTTCTAGTGTCAATGGCATTGTGACTGCAGACTGCTTTTCTAATGTTAGTTACCACCTTACTGAATCTGACAGCTTTTCCCTCCAAATGGTCTGAAAATAGGATTATTATAAGCTATGTAGTCCTACAAACCAGTATCAAGTACCATCATTCTTAGTGTAAGAAGGTACGACCTAAGGATCAAATTTACGATATAGCTGCATTGATTACAACCACAAGAACAGTGCAGTTAGTGCAGTTAGAGACACGCACTTACACCACAACTCCTTTCAAGTGTGATCGGACGAAACGCCCAGTGCCGCACGCAGACCTCCGTGTCCCGAGGAGCTGATCCCTCATCCCAAACGCTCTGTAGGGGTCACTCCATCAGCAGCACGCCGAAGGGCTGCAGTCGCGAGGTGAGGAGCTGAAGGCCCGGCTCCAGCCCAGCCAACCACCGACCCGCAGGGCCGTCCCGCCGCGCGGCCCTCCACGGCTGCCGCGGTTCCGAAGCGCATCTATAAGACAAACGGAAACGCGACGTCAGCCCGGAGCCGCGGGGGCTGTTTCCACGCACCGCACCTCATTTCCCCACGACTCCATTTCCCCGCACCGCCCCTCTGCTCTGCCTACACGAGAGCCGTTCGAGGCAAAGCCTCCGCATGCACGCTCTCTCCCGGCTGCCTGTGCCGGCGCACCGTCCCGTGCCGCCGCACCGTCCCAAACCGCCGCCCGCCGCCGCCGTTACCTCACGCGCCCCTCGCCGGTCCCGCTGCCAGTAGCCGCCACTCAGCGTCTAGCGTGGAAGGAGAGAGGGGAGGGAAGGGAAGAGCCGGGCAAAGAAGGGAAGGGAGGCACGGCGGCTCCGCCCAGCCCAGCCGGTGGCTCCTCCCCCGCCGCTCGCCGCGCCGCGCCTGTGGCAGCCCGGCAGCATGGCGGCCGTGGAGACCCGCGTCTGCGAGACGGCGGGCTGCAGCAGCGAGGCCAAGCTGCAGTGCCCCACCTGCCTCAAGCTGGGCATCCAGGGCTCCTACTTCTGCTCTCAGGTGAGGCCCCGGCGCCGCCACCCTCTCCTCCTCGCCTCGCTTCCTCCCCGCTTCCCGCTCTCCCCGCCGGCTCCGAGGGGCGCCCACCCGGTGCCCGCTGCGGGCCGGCACTCCCTCATGGCCCCGGAGAGCTGCGAGGCGGTGGGCCGGGCTGGTGGCGGCAGCGGGTGTCGGCCGGAGCCCCTCGCCGGGCCCGCGGCCGCTTGGCTTGCGGGAGCACCTCCTGCTCCTCGGCTCCGGGCGCGGCGCGGGGGCTCGGCTAGCGCTGCCCCGCGCCGGAGGGCGCTTTGCCTGCCGCGGGGAGGAAACGTGTTGGCGGGGGGGAGTGGAGGGGGGTGGGAACGCTGTGGTGAGATTTCCAGTCGGCGAATGAGACCGGTGCGCCGGTGCCGGCGGCGGGCTGCTCCCCGCCTCGCGTGCCTCACGCCGGCCTGGGCTCGGCTCCCGGCGGGCGCTGATCTGCCGCTCGGCCCCGCGGGAAGTTCCCCGGCCGGGGGAGGCGGGGCGCTTCGGCTCGGCGTGCTGCGGGGTCCGCGGCGCAGGGAAAGGCTTGTGAGGGGGTGCGCGGCTCCCCGTGAGCGGCGCCTCCCTTCCCGAGCGCGGGCTTAGTCTCCGTGCATGGGCTTTGTGAGCACAATGAGGCGTGCTTGTCAGGTTCCGGTGTGTGTGCCTCTGGGTCTGCATCAGCTCCGGGAATGGAGTTGCGTGGCGTTACCAAACACAGAGGACTTGTTGCTCCGCAGGCAGTGCTGCTTCCTTTAACTAGACAAGAGCTTTTCGGAGAACGATTTGGTGCTCTGCTTCCTTTTTTTTCTTCGAAATGTCTGTAGATATTTTACTTTCAGGCTACAGAGCAACGAGGTTCAGGTTGGGCCAGTTCCAATGCAGCCACACAGTTCAGACCTCAGCTCTCCTCACATCTCACCATGGTCCTAGTGTGCTTAGGTCCTTCCATTAAAAAGAAAGGACTGCCTGATGACTGCACGGTGGGTTTGATTTGTTGTGTTTTTTAACAACTTGGAAATGCATGGCAAAATACAAGGCTGAAGACTTTGAGCCTTTTGTATGTGCTATTCCTGCTAACGTCCAGTGAGGAAATATGATTCACAGGTCAATGGTGGAGTTCACGCAAGAAAGTCATTGGAAGTCTGTTGATAAACTTCATGAAAGCTTTTAACCACCTCAGCTAGATTAATGTACTAATTGAGCAACATGGTTACTTCTGAGTCAGAATATGAGCTGATAGTTATCATTTGCATAGGGCTTGAGAACTCCCCATTTGAATGTAACATGCTCACTGTACTGTGTCTGCTGCTTCCCCAGAGCCTCTGGGCCATGTGCTAGGAGTCAGTGCTGTTACGTGGACCGCGACTCAGAGTTGTGATGATTCTGTGCATTTAGCTCCAGCATGGTTCTTGAAGGTGGCTTGTAGGGTTTGCTCTGCATTTTAGTACCCGTTTTGACATGTCTGATGTTCATCATAGATGCATCTTCAGCAAGTGTGAGTATTAGCTGATGTTGACAATACCATTTTTTAACAGACCAGGGAAGCTTGTAAGCAAAATAATATCTTTGCTTCTCTCTGTCCTGTCCCCAACTCTGCTTAGATAGGTTGCATTGATTCTTGTCTATGCATTAAGTGTAATTATTTTGAAATATCTACTAGTGCCGTAAGGCAAAATTACCAGAAATATTTATTGGCATATTAAAGTAGGCTTGTAAAACTGCCTTGTCTAGGAGATAAAGTACTGGACTGTTAATTCTGAGTGACCATGAGTGTGTTCTTTCTCCTTATTGCCTTAGTCAGTCAAGTGGGTAAGCATAGTTGTTCCCCATATGAAAGGTGCTTTGAAAGTCTGGGGTGAGTGAAGCATGTCATAGAAAAGACAAGGGAATTAACAGCAGCCTGCTTTCGAGATATGCAAAAAATGTCATGTACTGGGAGACCTCGTGTTCCTCCCTGCAGGCTGAACATCAGTCCCCCATAGTCCTCTGTGTTGTCTGAGGTGTGCCTTGGAGGAGATGGAGGTTCACGAGCATCCTGTGAGCTCCAAGTGCTGTCGAGAAGGTAGGTTAGGTGCTGCTGACAATCTGGCTGTCCATTTGTATGGGCACTGTGAGGCTTATTGTCCCTGCTCAAAGGGATCTTCAAAGCCAGGATGTTTTCTCTGAGCTCCCAGTAAATTTCAGCCAATAGTGCTGGTGCGGTCAGCATCTGTGTAACTTTTCCTAAGGTTTCTCCTGGGTGGTTTCCTTTCCACAATAGCATTATATGCATAAATAACTTCTTAATAAGCTAGTAAGTGAAAGTAGGGTATTATTCCACCTTAGAGTATAGCCTGCTTTGTAGCTGTCCATTACCTAAAGGCATAGTTTGTTCCCTCCCTCTGAGTTTGCAGGTTTCAAACCCTTCCATTGAGCTGGACCCGATCTATTGGTGAGCTGCTTCTGAGGTTTTTAGGACTTTATTTTAATGGAGGAACAGCATTTGCATCAAGTTTGCTGCTAATCAGCTTCCTGAAGCTTTGCTAGATCAGAAAGCATTCTACCTGAGAGCAGATTTATGCCCACTCTGGCCCAGCTGTGAAGTTTCTCTGTTCTTACTGAACACACAGTGGTAATCGCACTCATGCAGCCTCTTGCTCTGGGCACAGTTCAGGACTGGAAGCCACCTAGTGTCTCTGTACAGGCGCACATGCTAGATTAATCAATCTGCTTGAGGCCTGCAGAAGAGGAAAAAAAAACAACAACAAACCATCAGGATCATAATGTAGATATGACAACGTACAATATTGTGTACACACACACAGCAGCCTATTGGTATTTCCCTTATATCCCTATATTACAAGCCACTGCACAGTATGAGCACTTGCTCGTACTCCTGAAGCTCCAGTAAGAGCTGAAATGACATTTGCAGGAATGCATTTTTTCTGGTGCTGAGATTAAACAATAGGAAACTGAACTGCTCTGAAAGGTAACAGATATGGAAGGATGTGTTTGGATTATAAATTGTGATGTGTGCTTTGTTACGACAAATGAACATGCATAGCATAGGGCTGAGAATCTCAGCGTGGTGAGGAAGTCATCCCGCGACTTACCGAGCATCATTTTTCCATCACTGTACATATAGAATTGAAGTGAACTTTTCAGGTAAGCTGTATTAAGACAATGATTTCCCCAGTGAATTTATGGGTTGTGTTTCTCCTTCCTTTGACAAGGGGCATTATTCTAGTGCCTGTCCCCCTTCTGCATCAAAAAAAGGACATCTCAACAACATGCCCTGAAAATGCTTACTCTGAAGTAATTTGACATCCTCGAAATTGCCTTTGAGAGAACACAGTTTCTCCTCTGGATATATGCACCTCATAAGCTGGATATGCAGCTGAAGGGTGTGCTGGTGGTGGGTCGTGAGTGGAAAGAGGTTGAGGCAGCTGTGCACCAGCTTCACCTGTGGTTTTACACAGGTAATGGAGGCAGGGCATAGGCGGCTTGAAAGTATACCAGTTGAACCCTGGCAGTACTTCTTTTTTTTTTTCTTTCAGTCCAGTGTATAATGAGAGGGCATATTCTGCTGAGGGATTCTGTCTGCTGTTAACCTTTTGTGTCTCATTTAGTCTGGTCAGTCAGGGTCCTGTTGCTGCTAGCTGTCTTCCACTGCCTTGCTTTCTCTTTTGTAAGACTTTCTGCAGTGTTCTGTGGATTTATTAGCATAGACTCTGTTACTCTATGTCCCCAATGTGGAAATAACAGATGCCCAGCATTGCATCTCCAGTGTGTTATTTCTCTTAGTAAGATAAATTTGCAATTTTAAGATCTGTCTTTATAGACATGTGTCACTTCTGCGTAAATTATATGTATTGTACTTATTCAGTTGGTGTTTAAATGCACAATTTGTATTTTTATCTGCCTTCTGAAAGCTGCTGAATGATACACAGAAGCAGTAACTGCTCTTGAGATTATCAGTTACCTCTTTTATATGACCTTTCTAATTATACGTTGGTCTCTTACTAATAATTTTGCATTGCTTTGCTGAACTCTTCCTCTCTCATGCTATTCCTATCTATATAAGTGTCTCAGGCTAGACAGAGCTGTCCGAGATGTTCTGTGGTGTGGACTGTGTACTGGTGTGGGGTCATTTCCCTGCCAAATTCGGAAGGATCTATTTCTAGGCTCATCATGGAAGCCTTCTCTTATTATCAATTCAGTGGCCGGCACTGCCTATTTATTTCTTTCTGATATTTGGAGGCCACAGATGGCTTTTCTGAACTTTATGCTGTGCAGCTCTTCTCTTTCTCACAGCGGTGGATGGGTGGGTAGTGAGTGGAAAGAGGCTGAGGCAGCTGGGCACCAGCGTCACCTGGGGTTTCGCACAGGTAATGGAGGCAAAAAACCCTCATTTGGAGGGTTTTTTTAAATCCACTGAGGAAGAGGTGCTGCTGTTTCCTTGGTGACTGTGTACTGATGCACCTTCTTTCTGGGAGGTATGTTTTCCCTGATATTTACATCTAATTTACTCCCAGATCTGGGCCCTTGATAACTTTGGTTACTCAAGGTCACAGTAATTTATTAAAAATTGGGATCTTGAAGAGAGCAGTGGTATCCCCTCGACCCTGTCACCAGCACCACACACCTTTGCTGTTGCCTTTCACCTTCAGTGTGTTGGGTGTGGGGAATGGAGACCAGAAGAAACTATTTTTTGTCCTCTGTCATGTCACAGCATAGGACGAGTGCTGTATTTCATTCTTGGTGTGCTGTTCTTTGCTGTGCTTAAAATAGGCTACAGCCTGCTGCTTGGATCCAGATGCAACAGTTACAGTTTTCTTTTGATATAAATGGTACGCTGTGGATAACTCTCTGCTAGGTATTTCGACAGATTCCCTAGGCGAAGAAGTTGTTATTTTTAATTGCTTATAAATCCCCATACCTGTGGTAAGTGCCTGGTTATTGTTGAGACACAGATGCAAAGTATGCGTAACTTTTTGAAAGCAAAACTTTGGGCT